TTTTTTTTTTTTTTTTTATTAGTTTTTTATTACTTTGTACATGTGTTACGTACGTGCACACGCAAGTACACGGAAAGAACGTCTCCAGGATTGGTCCAGTGGCGACAGCCTGTAATTTACACGTTAAACAAATTGAATAGATAATAAATTACTTAAGCCAATACTTACTGCCGCATTTATACGTCTTGTGATACGTCCGTGAGTTTTACTCTTACAAGGTACACGATTGTTCATGGTGTGTTGAACTTCGAGTACACATGGAGTAGTCTCGCTTCTCTTTGAAACGTTGTTTCTATTCTACGATTTTACATTGTCCAAAATGAATGTTTTTTTTCTATCTGTAATTATAATTATTATTTCTTTCTAACTGCGACACATCATGCGTGTTTTATCGTATTTTATTCTTTCAAAGCTTAGTGTATTTAACTCTTACAAAGCTTCTTCACGGCGTGTTAAATCGCGCATTATTTTTGTATAAAGCTCCTTTTGTTTCCTTTAACGCGTTATTTATATTCTGCCTAACGTGTTATTCACTCCGGTTCTTTCTCTTTTTCATATTCGTTTCTTTTTCTTTTAAAATTTTTCATCGTCGGGACATGCCTGAACTGGTGGAAGTTGGAACATTACCAGCTTATGTTGCACATTCTTTCATATATACACGCGGGTATATAATATAATACATCTTTCATACATGTCACATACGTGATATTGTCATATTCACGCATAGATGATACATAAACGAAAAGCATAAAGAGCTACTACAACATCCTTTCAACTGTCACTTATTGTGCTCAACCATTTAAATCCTACCAACTGTCACTTGTTACAATTCCTAAATACGAAATGATATATCCTTCTAATAATATAACCTATTAGAAAAGATTAGCTTTCAAAAATGATCTCAGGTCGCATCAATTTTTTGCAAATGTGAAAGTATTTCGTTCGCAAAAAGGCATGAATAATTCGTTTATTACAATTCCGCCTGCAAACTTAAGGTCAGGAATATTTGCTTTTTCATAGAAAACTGCCAAAGGTTGCTTACTTGACGACTTGAGCGGCCAGCGAGGGGAGGGGATGACTGAAGCCTGGTGGGGGATTCGCGAGTGCCACCACGCTCAGTATCGTTCGACCATTGGTCAGGTGTGTTTCGCAGTCCGTGCGGTGATCCGAGTGTATCATTCGTTTAGTAAACACGTTGGCAAACCATCGGGTTTACACGTAAATTCTTCTGACCTGAATGAACGAACCGTCAAAGCGTCGAAGGTCGAGAACACGGTGACGAAGACGCGCGTAATCGTCGAAGTGACAGTGCCGGTCATCCAGCATTTTCAAACTTTCCCAATCGTGGTGACCACGCGATGTTTATGGTTTCCCGGCACTCTGATATTCGATCTAAAGGTGACCAGTGAAGCACCGGTGGCCGTATGATCGTGTCGACGATATTCTCGAGCGTGACCGGTTTCCATCGGCGACATTCGAACGATGCCGGACGAAATGCCGAGTTGACGGTGAGTAAGCTGCACTTTTTCAAATTCCACGCCGACGTTCGCCGCGAAGTTCGTATCGAATCGCGACCAACTTCACACTGCCTGGCTCGTTGACAGGTGGCCCTTGCTTCCACCGCACACTGATTGCGTTACATTTGTATCTTCTATTTAAAAGAATTATTATAAAAATTTCAATAAATGAGACGTTATACAGGGTATAACTGAGTGATAGCCGAATAGGAAGTGATTCTACGTGAAAAAAACGAGTCGAAATGAAAGAGTAAAATTTCTTTATTAGTGCCTTTGTTCTCGAGAAAATCGAGTTTGAATGTTTATCAAGTATGCTTGAATTTGGTTAATTTTGTACCAGACAGGCGCGAATAATCGACGAAAGAATATAATAGCAAAGATAAGTGGAGAGTGTAGAATAAAATTTTTTCGTACAAGGCGTCGTTTTTAAGAAAATAGGCTTTGAGTATGTTTCGTGAAAAATTCCAATTGCGCCTCAAGTACACGTGTAAACTTCCAATTCGATTCTCTCTTATCGTATAAAAAAATTTTATTCAATGTTTTTTATTTATTTTCTCACGTAGAATAATCTTCTATTAATCATTCCTTTCTATCTCGTCTAGAATTAGCTGGTATAAATGATAATATTTTCAAACTCGATTTTCTCGAGAACGGGGGCTTTAACGGACAAATTTTATTTTCTTTTCGACACATTTTTACATGAATCATCTTCCAATACAGTTTATAAGTTGTTACAAGACAACTTCTCCTTATTATTTATTAGAATTTTTCATGATAACAAATATTAAAGTATGAAACGAATCACATTCTATTCGGTTGTACCATTACTTACGGGACACCCTGTATATGTACAGAGATATAAAACAGTAGTTCAAGCGAAGCTTATATGAAAATTTTTCAATCGTAAAGTAGATCTGTTGTTGGCTCAATTATAAGATAATAATCGATTCAGGATTGTAAATAATACCTTAGAATGCTAGTTCGAAAGATATTAGTAAAAAAATTTCTAATATCGATATTAGGAAAAAAAAAAAAAGGAAACGACATGTAGGAAATCAAACATTACATTATTATATAAGTATAGAAGTGAAAATATTTGACAGATACATATAAGTAGGAAATTAGAGAATAACGATAAGTTATTCTGTCACATTCGACTGAACTAATCGAATAATTTCACTTTCTAAAATCTGCTTCGCAATTTGAAACTCAATTACAAAGTTAATGGCATAATTTCACAGTGCATTATTATTAGTCACGTTGCAATTCCTACCCAACGTGTGAGCACAT